CTCTCTCTCTCTCTCTCTCTCTCTCTCTCTCTTTCTCTCTCTCCTTCTCTCCCCCCCCACCCATAGTTCCAGCTAGCATGGGACTCTCTATGCAGACTTGTTAATTTTGATCTCACAGAAACCTGCCTGCCTCTGTCTCCCAGCTCTGTCTTCTCTCTTTGGTAGAAATGGTAACAAGTAACTGTTAAAGAAAACTAGAGATTCTGCACCTAACTGAGGCTTGTAGCAGAATTTGATGCCAGGAGCTGAAAGAGCTAGAAAGGAAGTGCTGCCTCTTGGAGTGCCACGAGGCTCATTGGTCACCCCAGAAGCTATGGGCCTGTATGCCGGGGGCTGCCACTCTCTATCATACATGAGTCATGACAGCAAACAGCTGAGCGGCCTCATAAAATCTTCCACCTGACTTTTCACAGCCATGTCACAGGGTACTAGCTGGGTAGATATGGGTTCCTCCAGTAGACAACAGGCTTAGCTAGTTCCATTAAACACAGCTAACTTGGCCAGTCATGGTGACCTGTGCCTGTAACCCCGGCACTTGTGAGGTGGAAGCAGGAGGATCATGGGTTCAAGGTCATCTTTGGCTACATAGTGAGTTCAAGGCCAGTCTGGGTTACATGAGACCCTGTCTCAAAAGAAAACAAAATAAAACCAAAATGTACCTAAGTTGGCCAGGCACGGTGACTCATGCCTTTAATCCCAGCACTGGGGAGGCAGAGGCAGGCAGATCTCTGTGAGTTCAAGGCCAACCTGGTCTACATAGTGAGTTCTAGGTCATCTGGGGCGACCCTGTCTCAAAAAAGGCCGGGAAAAAAAAGTACCTAAGTTAGCTATCAGAATGTAAGTATAATTTCTTCTCATGTTATACTGCTCAGACAAAAAAACTGAAGGCACAAAATTGTATGTTCATTATGACCTCAGTGCTACCAAAGATGCTCAGAAAGGTGTCCATAGGACAGGAAGTCCACAGAACTGTCACCTCTGGGTGCACATTACATTCTTTATACATCTGTGCATGTTTTCAAAAATGAGTGTGAGTGATTTCTATCATCTAAAATTAGCCTTTTTTTTTTTTTTTTTGGTTTTTTTGAGAAAGGGTCTCCCTGTAGCCCCAGCTGGCCTGGAATTCACTATATAGACCAGGCTGGCCTTGAACTCACAGAGATCCACCTGCCTCTGCCTCCCAAGTGCTGGGACTACAGGCATGCGCCACCATGCCTGGCCATATTTTAATAATATTTATTTATTTTGAGGTGAGAGGCTCTTGTGTGCCATGGTGTGTGGAAGTCAAAGGACAACTTGCAGGAGTCTGTCCTCTCCTTCTACCATGGGTACCTGGAATCTAACTCAGGTCATCAGACTTGGTGGCAAGTACATTTACCCACAGAGTCATCTTACCAGCCCCTTAAAACTAAATCTCATCTCTAAAATGAAACCATCATCTCCATCAGCAGGGTGTCAAAGAGAGGAGATGAAATGAGAGATGTGACTACAGTTCATAAACCAGAGAGCAAACGAGGAGTGCACCATCGTTTATATACTTTTAAATGACGGCACACTCCCCCACAGAGAAGCTGTGACGAGCTGTGATTTCACGAAGCAGACACGCTCTGTGAAGACAGTGAGTAACGTCACGGTCATCTTCTTCCAGTGTCTGTCTCCGTGAAACATCACTGTGAAGGGTAATTATCATTAAATGTCATTACTTATTCATTATCATTACTATAAATGATTAGTAATTTGTTGGATCCTGGATAGTATCACTTTGTCACATTAATTACTTACAATTTTTAAAAAGATTTAAAAAAAATTTGTCTGTGAGTCCAGTACCCACGGTGGCCAGAAGAGGGCACTAGATCCCTGGAACTGCAGCTACAGGTGGTGTGAGCCACTCAACGTGGGTTCTGGGAACCATGGGTCCTCGGGATGAGCAGCAGTCCTAACCAGCGCTGAGCCATCTCTCCAGCCCCACATCAACCAAAACCAACGCTTATCAAAAGTATGCAACTCCTGGCACCTGCCGTTTTCATCATTACAGTGTGCACATCTTCTCTACGGAGCCTTACAACTTTCTAGCAAAGGTAATATTCCCATTTTTCAGAGGAAGAAAATCATATAACAGACGTCATCAATATGCAGCCATAGCAGAAAATAAACATTACCCCTAAAAGTATGTCGTACACCTGGTGAGTACTGGCCTGTCCCGTGTCATGCATGTGCTTGGAGTCATCACATTCTAACACATGTGCAGTCTCTATACATATCTTCCAGGTCACTGGTGGCTTGCGTCATTACATGTAAACCTTCCCATAACTTGAGAGCCCCTTTTTTATTGTTTGTTACTACACTTTTGGAAATACATGTACACAGGTCATTATAGTTTCGTGGAATGTTCCAGAATTGTCATCTGTCAAAGCTTACAGAGCTTGGTACTTCATTTATCTGTAGATTCATCTCTCTCAACCCCTAAGCTCACCACCATCCCGGGCTGCTTACCTTTCATAAAAGAGTACCGGACCTCGGCATTGGCTCCCCGGTCGGCATCCACAGCTCGGACCTGCAGCAGGTCTGTGCCTGGGACAGTGGTGTCAGGAACACTCACCTCATAATGAGGCTGAGTAAAGTGGGGCGGGTGGAGGTTTCCATCCTCCACGTGAATGGTCACCCACACAAAGTTCCTCTTGATGGGTATCTCTTGGTCTCGGACCTGTGGGCACAGGGGTCAGCAGAGTGAGGAGGCACAGACAGAACGGAAGGAGGCAGGAGGCAGGTCAGAGCAAGGCCAGCCAGCCAGAACGACGGTGAATACGCCACCCAATTTCTGTGGGTACCTTCAATCTTTTTCCAACCTGTGCTTTTATTTATTTTTTTATTTTTATTTTATGTGTATGTGTGTATTGCCTGCATATAGGTAAGTGCACCCATGTTGTGCAATGCCCGCGGGGGAAAGAGGCTGTTGGATCCCCTGGAAATGGAGTTATGGACAGTTGTTAGCTGCCATGTGGGTGCTGGGATTTGAACCTGGGTCTTCTGCAAGAACAGTCAGTGTTCTGAACCGCTGAGCCATCTCTCCAGGCCCCAACCTGTGCTTTTAGAAAGGAGTGTCTTCATGATGATTTGGCTTAGCTGTACTAATGGATAATTTCACTTTAGGTGAAAGACAGAATTAGGCCGAGAAGCACAGCAGATTTCAGAGATTATTAGTTCTTTAAGATATAACATATTAACATGTTCTATGGTCAAAGAGATTTCGGGGGCACTGAATTAAATGAAGTGGAACAGTTTTGTTGGTGGCGGCCTTCTCAAAGCCATCAGTTCACACTGATGTGCCCAGAGGATGATAAATCAGTACGTAAGGATCCCAAGACAAGAGGTCAGATCCTAGCTCTGGTTCATCACAACTGTGTGGCAGTAAGCAAACGTCTGTCCTTCTGTGGACAGGGGGAAGGAACAGGGTTAGAGCACGAACAAGAGGTTATGTAGGGAGTGAAATTTAAGGACGCTTTCAGTAGGGCGTGGTGGCACATGCCTCTTTAGTCCCAGCACTTGGGAGGCAGAGGCAGGTGGATTTCTGTGAGTTTGAGGCCAGCTGGTCTACATAGTGAGTTCCAGCCTAGCTGGGGTTACAGGGAAACCCTGTTTGAAAAAAAAAAAAAAAAAAAAAAAGGAGGTTTTCATTGTCGAGTCATAAAAACATAGGCACATGACCCAGATAGTGAGTTCCCCTTAAATATTACCCTAGAGGCTGGCTTGCTTGATTCTAGCCCTCGTCCTGGGTTGGAAGGTCTCTGGATCCCTCCCAGTTTTGACAGTATATAAATCCACAAGGCAGTCATAAAATCACAGAATGGGGAAAGATCTGTCAGAGATATTTGGGATGAGTCCAGAGAAAGCCAAGGTTAACAGGAGCTTCCTTGCCAGCGCCCCTACCCCCTGCAGGATCTTCATGCCAGGCATGCCTTATGGAAGACACCTCTGGCCAGCTGTGAAATACCACAACTCTCTGGGGATTATCATTATAGATATCTATACACCCGACCCATTGAGGGCCAGCAGGCCCAGGGCATGTTCTCTCCACCCACCTACATGTAAGCCCAGGGTTGTGGTTTGAATGTGAAATGCCCCTGCCCCTAGGCTCATGTGTCTGAACCTTGGACCCTAGATTGGGAAGGTTGTGGAAGCTTTACAGGGTGGAGCCTTGCTGGAGGAAGTGGGTCCCTGGGGGCGGGCCTTGAGACCCACTTCTTGTTTTCTCTCTGCTTCCTGAGGTTAGATGCATGTGACCAGCCAGCTCTCTCTGCCTACCACCAAGCCTGCCCTGCCTTGTCATCTCTGCCATGGTGGATGATATCGCCTCTGGAACTGTAAGACAAAGAAAACCCTTCTCCCTCCAGTTACTTTTGTCAGCATTTCACCACAGCAATGAGACCGTAACTAGAACACGCATCCGAACCTGTTCCCTGGTTTACTCACCATAACGGTCAGTATGTGCTGAGAGGGTCCCGAGCTCAGGTCCAGTCTCCCCACTGTTACCAGGACTCCACTGATCGGATCCAGTTGGAAGAGACTGGCACTTCCAGGGTCTTGGCTGTCCTGGATGGTATAAATGAGGCCCTTGCCCTTGTCTTGATCTGTGGCCTGGACTTGGAGGAGCTCCACCCCAGGCAATGTGTCTTGGGGGACCCTGACGTCATAATGATCCTGCAGGAACTGGGGCCGGTGGTGGTTGATGTTGGCGATCATGAAGATGTAGACCTGGGAGGAGACAGGGAGGACAGGGAGCAGTCTGTGAGCTGCATGGCAACAGGGATGGTACCTGCCAGGACTCCATTGCCAGCCACATTCACGTTGGCAGTGCCTGGCACACGGCTGCCACTCCACTCAATAAATATCTATTGAATGAATGGTCGGAGTTCAAGATCGCAGGTTTTCAGATACCAGGTTGTCTAGTGGAGTTCCAATGCAAAAAGTTTTTAAACTGCATGTGGTGGTACACTCCTATAATCCCAGCATTTGGGAGCCTGAGGCAGAATTACCATGCGTTTGAGGCCAGCTTGGGCTACGTAGTGATTCTGAGGTCAACCTGAGTGAGACCTGTGATGTGTTAATCACTTGCTTTACTTAAACTAGCATCTCCTGGGAAGGTAGTCTCAATGAGGGGTTGTCTAGATCAGGTTGGCCTGTGTGCTGTGTGTCTTGGTTATGTTAATTAAGGTGTGAAAGTCCACCTGCTGTGGGTGGCACCCCACCCTAGGCAAGGGATCCTGGGCTGTGCCAGAGTAGAGGAAGGGAGCTGAGCACTGGGACGCATGCACGCAAACAGTCATTGCTCTCCACTCTTGATGTGAGACGGTGACTTGGAACTGGAAGATTTGGAACTGTGAGCCAAACGTACTTTCTCTCTTAAGTTGCTTTTGTCAGGGTATTTTGTCACAGAAATGGGACAAGGAGAAGCTAAGACAGACCCTGTCTCAAAAACAAAAAAAACAAAAAAAAAAAAAAAAGAAAGAAAAAATTTATTGGGCCCTTTTCTTCAAACAAAATGTGTAAAATCCCAATATAGGAAATAGCTTTGTTCTACTACTGCATAGACCTGACCATCATTTCCTCAACCCTAGCCCCCGGCAGACTCTCTTTGATTACTACTATTTACTGGCACAAATCCATTTGTGATATAGAAATCTAGAATGGGGAAAAACTCTCTCACAATCACAGAAGTAGACTGTGTATTAGTAAGATGGAAACCCAGAACTTTGAGTCCAAATCCAGTTCTTTGAGGTATTCCATATTAATAAAAAGCCTTCAGTAGCCTTTTTCCAACCAAGGGTACCTCCTATCTCCTTCAGGGCCAGGGGTCCCTGACTGAGGCCTCTCACCTGTGTGGTAATGGTGTGGAACCCATCTGTCACCTCCACGGTCAAGTTGTAGGTCGACCTTCTCCTTGTATCCAGAGGCCTGGCGATGATGATGCTGCCCGTAGTCTTCTCTATGTCAAAGTCCATGTCCTTGTCCCCGCCTGGAGTGGGAGTTGGGAAAGAGCAGACAGACCCTCAGTGACTTAGGCAGCTGAAGGCCAACCTGGACTCAGCTACAGACTTAGAACACACAGTGGGTATCAGCATTGGCTGACCAAGGCTGGCAAGACTGTGGATGTGGTGGTTTGAATGAGGCTCAGGTATTTGAATACTTGGTCCCCAGGTGGTGGTGCCGTTTGGAGAGGTTATAGAACTTTTAGAACATGGAATCTTATTAGAGGAAGTACGTCACTGGAGGCGGGTGTTGAGAGTTGATAGACTGGCTCTATCTGCTTCCAGTTTCTGTCTCTACTCTCTCCACGCGGTATGCAGTTGAAGATGTGCTCTCCCAGCTTTTGCTCTGGCCACTGCTGCCGTGCCTCACCTGCCATTATGGACTCCCCCTCTCCAAAAGTTACTCTTGGGTCATGGTTATTTTATCACAGTAACAGAAAGTAACTGCTTCGGGAATTAGAGACTCTAAGACTGTTCAGAAATAGACTGGAGTTTATCTCCTTGGGAGTTCAAAAGGCTATTATGTCTCCTGTCTTATTAAATACAGGGAAGAGCAAAGCTGTGAGGCTTGAAGAATCCTAGAGGAGAACAAAAATCTCTGCAGAAGTTATTCAGCCTCAGGGATTACGGATGAATATATAAGGTCCCCCACAGACTCTGGGTTTGAATTTCTGGTCTCTGGATGGTGGCACTATTTTGGGAGAACGTGGAACTTAGGAGGTGGGGCCAGGCTGGAAGAAGTAGGTCACTCTCTGCTTCCTGGATGGTCATGAAGTTGTTCCCTATCACACATTCCTACCACCATGACGCTTTGCCCAAGTTCCTAGGCCCAAGCCACCATGGCCTGAGGCCTCTGAAACCAGGAGCCTCTGTTAAGTTATTTCTGTCAAGGTTTTGTCACAATAGCATGAAAATAAATAGCATAGAGAATGAGACATGCAGGATCAATCACAAAGGCCTGCTTTGTGGCTTCATATTAGACTGTGCAAACTGCCCGTGTCCATCCTGTGCCTAGACACAAGGAGGAATGCAAAGAACACTGTTCAGTAAAAGGAACTGATTTTTAAAAAATATACATGGAAAGGTTAAGTGGAGACGGAGGACAGGAAATGGGAAGGAAGAAGGGGGTCAACCAGAACTATGCAACAAAATGCCATAAGGAAACCTTTTACTTTTTAAATTAAAAAAAGATGTAAAAAGAAGACAAAGTTTGGAAGGAGGGTTCTGGGGGGAATTGGAGGTGGGACGTTGGAGATGATCATCACACATTATACACATGTATGAAATAGTCAAAGAATGAATTTTTTAATTATTAAAGATAAAATACGAATACAAACTACAGAACAGCATGAAGTTATTTAAATATCTATTAAAGAGAAGTTTGTTTAGTGATGTTTGAAATGTATTCACAATATATTACATCTAATATTTTAATAATTAGATGTAAATTAATATTTAATATTTTAATATAACACTATGTATCTCTGTTGTGTGCATAAAAAACATATAAAATTGTAACAATGGGGTTGGAAACATGGCTCAGCTGTTGAGAGCACTGGCTGGTCTTGTAGAAGACCCAAGCTGGTTCCCAGCACCTACATGGTGGCTAACAACCATCTGTAACTCCAGTTCCAGGGGATCTGACACCCTCTTCTGGCCTCTGAGGGTA